TCTACACACACACACACACCACACCACATGCTCCGGCATACACTGGCTGTTGGTAACCACCCAGGAGAATGAAAGAAAAGTCAGGAAGAGTCCGAGAAAGAGAAGAAAGACGTGTGCGACCATAATCGTCGGGAATTGAACCCGCAACTTCTCGATTGGAAATCGACTGCACACACACACACACACACACACACACACACACACACACACGCGCGCGCGCGCGCACACGCACGCACGCACGCACGCGCGCCCACACACACACACACACCAATTTCACTGCGCATGAAGATGTGCTAAGACTGGGGGGGGGGGGGCTACCCAATTGTACATCATATGATATGCTCTCAATGCAGTGCTGCCAACCTTCCCTATTTTTCCGTATCTGTATGGAAATTTACTCCTTTTTTCCGCAGTACGTAAATTGACCGAAATTGTACGGAAAACTGAGAAGTATGGATCTGCGGACTATGAACCAGTTTTACACATGACAACGCACTTTACCTATGCATGTATATGTATGCAGAGCATATAAAAGGCTGCGAAGTACACGTTAAAACATTGTTCCATTCGACTCAGCACCCCGACGACTACAACTAAACGGGTGAAAATTTGATTTTAGCCTTTTTCCCCCTTTAACCCTCTAAGTGCCACGGCTGCCGAAATGAGCCCTGTGTACTTCTAGTTTACAGTGCCACGGGCGACGTAGAGAGTCCGACACACTTCTGTGTGGGAATGCCAAGGCTCTATGAAGAGCCCGACGGAGGGGTATTTTTGGACGTGTCCTACAGTACCAGAGGTCTGTAGCTCCGTCCCACGCTTTTGACCTGGCGTTATCCGTGGGTAGAGGTATCAGTTCAATAGAAAAAACCGAGTGTTCGTATCTATAAAAAGCGAGAAACGCTCGTTCAAAACTCAAACACTTTCGAGTGACAATGGCGACTCAAGGCGAGAGGTAGAGATGACACAGGAGGAAGTTGACGGTGAAATCCACAGAATCTTTGACGGTGAGTCTGATGAGTCTGAGTTTGAAGGCTTCGATGTCGGCAGTAGCGAAGATGACGATAGCGACCTTCAAGGAAGCGACGAAGACGACGAAGAACAACCGCGAGTGTGGAACTGGCGGACCGTCACGGCTGACAACGACACCGCGGATGCGAGTGCATGGCTGCCGGGAGTAACTCGCCAACGTGGGCCAACGGCACAGGCCGATGAAAACATCTCGCCGGCAGACTGTTTCGCTATGATGTTCACGGATGAAGCCGTGGACATAGCCGTCACGCAAACAAATCTGTATGCGCAGCGAAAACTGGAAGCCCTCGGCGCTCACTTTCCAAGCTCCCGGATGCGCAAGTGGCATGACATCTCGTCACGCGAGATGAAAGTGTTTTTCGTACTCTTGCTCGCCATGAGCATCGTGGAGCAACCAGCGCTGGCAGACCATTGGACGACGGACTGGCTCTACCAGACACCCGGCTTTGCCAAGGTTATGTCCAGGAATCGTTTCCAACTGATCCTGTCGTGCCTTCATTTCGTGGATAACACAACCATCGAGTATGACGAGCACGGCAGGTATCGAGACCCTCTCGCCAAGATTCGTAAATTCCTGGACATAATCGTCAAGCGCTTCAGACTGTCCTACTACCCTAAGAGGGATGTGTCTGTGGATGAGCAAATGATTGCGTACAAGGGTCGCCTATCATTCAAACAATATATGCCGGCCAAACCGACCAAGTGAGGCGTGAAAGCATTCGTCCTTGCGGAGCCGGGTACGGGATACATATACGAGTGGACTCTGTACACCGGCAAGGATATGGCCGAGGGCCGAGACGTAGCCATGGCCGACACATCGAAGGGCAGTCGATAGTGGCGAAATTGGTTCGACACCTCGGCCAAGGGCACGTAGTGTACATGGACAATTATTATTCGTCACCTACCTTATTTCAGTGGCTGTCGTCGCGCCGTGGAATGGGAGCTGTCGGCACAGTGAGAGTCAATCGGAAAGGGCTTCCACCAGCATGTAAGGACAAGGAAAAGAAGGGCACGCCGCCGAGATTCTGGAGAGATGAAACAGTTCTCACATGCTCCTGGCCGGACAAGAAGCAAGTGACAGTTCTCTCGACGATTCACTCTTGTGAAGTTGTCGATGTAGATATTCGCGACCGGCGTGCGCCTCAAGGAGTTTGGTCCGTGAAAAAGCCATCATGCATCGCCAGCTACAACAGTTTGATGGGCGGCGTGGACGAGGCGGATCAGATGCTGAGCTACTACGCATTCCCGCATCGTCACCGCCGTTGGTACCTGATCCTTTTCCATCAGCTGCTGGAAATTTCGGTGCACAATGCGAAAATAATCTACAACGCAATGACAGGCAAAGACCTTGACGGAAAGGAATTCCACAAGGCGCTCATCGCTTCCCTGTTCACTGAAACACAGTGGCCGATTGGTGAACCACGTCGCAGATCTGTACCAGCAACTACTGACGATGTGGACACAGCTCGGCTAACTGAGCGACACTTTTGTACGCAGCTAGCTGTTGAAGGGAAGCGAGACTGCGTTGTGTCCAGCAGACGACCGGACCACCGGAAGCAAACTAACTTAGCTGGCAGTGCGTGCAGTGCGTACGCATGATGTGTCCCGGTGAATGCTTCCAGCGCTTTCACACCCTGCACGACTACAGAGTACGGTATGCGGACTAGTGCATAACCTTGCGCTACTGCTGTGAAATTTAGCAACTATCTCCATACCACAAGCAGTTGTTGCTACGTTGTACCGCTGCTGCAAACTAAGTTTGTATGTGCGCATTTCCGTCTTGCTGACTTATTTTCACTTTGACACTGCTGCATTCATTGGCATTACTATTTTTCTGCATGCTGAGCTCTGAAACATGTTGCTGATGATATTCTGAACATATCATGTATACATTATCTTTGAGTAGTAGCAATATATCACCATCACTTGCCGTCCTGAAGTTTATAACTGTAAAATAGCACAATTGCAGAAATCTGCGTGGCACTGAGGGAAGGGTGAGAACCAGCTGACCGTCGCATTCAGAAAGTACTCCTGCTCAGCTGATCGTGGCACTTGACAGGAAAATTTTGTCAACCACTTATGGCACTTAAAGGGTTAACAGTTGGTAGTACGCAAAAACTCTGGAAAATACGGAAATTCAGCCGTCCGAGTACGCAAATCAGACCAATCAGGTTGGCAGCACTGTCAATGTGACCTAGGTACAGTCAGATCTCGCTTATCCGGTCCTCGTTTATCCGGTCCTCGCTTATCCGGTCCTCGCTTATCCGGATCCCTCGCCATCTGGAAGAAACAATCTGGTTACATATTTACAGCATACGTGATGCATCCAACATAAACGGTGTTCGGTTATCCGGTTCCCTCGCCTATCCAGATATTGTTTTGGAAAACGGATGTGTGCGGTTAAGCGAGGTCTGACTGTATGTGTGCATCTGTAAACTGACGATATTTCCATCCTGTATTTAAATAGCAGCTTGCACATTGCAAGCAACCGGTGTTGCCTTATCCCCAAACAATATTGCCAAAATCCACTAAGTGTTAAACTAACATCACCAAGGTCCCTACCACTAACTCGTCCTGATTGTAAGCTGCCTCCGTATGTACGTGTCGGTTGGTTTTGCAGACTCTTCAATCAGGAGCAGATTGCTACGATCAGGGCAGTGTCATTCAAGGATGTCCTGGTGCGCATCATGCGCGCCTCTTGGTTCAACAGCTCCATGTTGACACGCAACCCGTTCAGGTACGACGGCCAAGAAGACGAGGACTTTCCTCTTTTCAGAACACATGGCTGCGAACCGCACATTGAGTACAATGTCCCTAACCTTGCCCAGCACATGGAGCCTTGCTCACCCATGAAGACATTCGACTATTTCCAAGGCAGCGAGGGCCCGTTCATCGGTAGCTTTGTCTCTCTGGGCCTCTACCTGCTTCTCAACGTTGTCATCCTATTCGTTGCTGTGAGGGTAGTCAAGCAGCGGGCCATCAAGGCGAGAGCCTCTAACGCGTCCGACGGCGGTGCTGACGTGTGGCTGAAGGCCGGTGTTATCTCCACGTCAGGCGGTGTACCCATGGTGGCTGATGAGCTGAAGGTGAGTGTGGCCGTGCAGGCAGTGCGCAGGCAGTGCCGATGTAAGCATGTGTGCTGCATCCCACCACCACCACTCCATACGCCACACACGCCACATGACCTGCATCCAATACCCTACACCCCACAGGACCATGAATATGCAGTGCGCAGGCAGTGCAGATGTAAGCATGTGTGCTGCATCCCACCTGACCCCATACCCCATACCCCGCACACGCCACATGACCTACATCCAACGTCCCACACACCACAGGACCATGAATATGCGGTGCAGAGGCAGTGCAGATGTAAGCATGCCGCGTGCTGCATCCCATCTGACCCCATACCCCGCACACGCCACATGACCTACATCCAACGCCCCACCGGACCATGGATATAGGCAGCGCAGATGTAAGCACTTGTGCTGCACCCCCCCCCCCCCCCACCACCACCACCACCCCATACCCACATGACTTGCATCCCACACCCCACACTCCACACCCCACAGGATCATGGATATAGGCAGTGAGTGATGGTACTATTGCTGTTTTTGCTTGGTATGACATGCTCCCAGGACAAAAGTAGTAGTGACTGGCCCTTGGACAACAATGGAGTGCAGTAGTGAATATATTTTAGGAGAGCCGTTAAAAAAATGTTTAATTCCGGCTGGCACAGTAGCTACGTGCTATTCCTGCCTCCAGTGTCAAGGACAGATGGAACCTGTTGTTGCAATCACAACGCCCATAGCTCTAAGATCATACGTGTAAAGCACTATTACTGCTTGCTCTATTTCAGTAGGTGTATGCATGATGCTATGGACATCCGATGTCTATTGTTCCGTGTGCTGGTGTGAACACGCGCGCGCGTGTGTGTGTGTGTGTGTGTGTGTGTGTGTGTGTGTGTGTGTGTGTGTGTGTGTGTGTGCGTGTGTGTGTGCGTGTGTGCGCGCGCGTGTGTGTGTGTGTGTGTGTGTGTGTGTGTGTGTGTGTGTGTGTGTGTGTGTGTGTGTGTGTGTGTGTGTGTGTGTGTGTGTGCGTGTGTGTGTGCGTGTGTGCGCGCGTGTGTGTGTGTGTGTGTGTGTGTGTGTGTGTGTGTGTGTGTGTGTGTGTGTGTGTGTGTGTGTGTGTGTGTCTTGACTCGCCATGCCCGATTCTGCTCGTGACTTGAACACTGTTGGTTCCTTCGGGACCTGCTATCATCTCCGGCTGGGCATATTGTATTGTGTTGTATTGTATTGTATTGTATGTGTGTGTGAGTGTGTTTCTGTGTGTCTGCGTCTGCACGTGTGTGTGCGTGTGTCTGCATGTGTGTGTATGTGTGTCACACTGGTCTCATTCATCTCTTCAGGTGAATCCGGCCCGCAAGGTGGTGGTGGCACCGTCGGTCAGTAAGAAGCAGCTCAAGGTCTACGACGCCGTGTCCGGAGCCGTGGTGCGCAGCATCGACCTGGCGCACATCAAGCACTGCGACATGCTGCTGACCCCGCAGAACAAGGTGCTCACGGATGGCGTCATCCTGCTGCGCTTTGCCAACCTCTACGACCTGGTGCTGCGCTTCGCCGGCTCGCCCGAGCCGTTCTCCAACGCCATGAACGACTTCTTGAACCACATTGGCGTCACGACGAGCCGCCGCTACCTGGCCGAGAACGCCATCCTTGCCGACGTATTCACCAAGGAGGATCGCCAGAAGCTGGTGGAGGAGTTCTTCCGTATCCTGTTCCGCGAGTCTCTCGCCGAAGAGGGCCAGCCAAGAGAGAAGACCAACTTCATCGGAATCCGCCGGCGCACCACGAAGCGCAGGAAGCAAGTAAGTTCCCAGCGATAGCTTTCGGTGGTCGAGCAGGACAGTGTACGCAGCCCTGCAGCAGCCATATCACTGCGAGCCAGTATACTGCCATATCACTGCGAGCCAGTATACTGCCATATCACTGCGAGCCAGTATACTGCCATATCACTGCAGTGAGGCCGCAGTATACTGTTCATTACAATGCATGCAATGCATGCTGCATGTACTAGAGCAGTATACTGTTCATTACAATGCATGCTGCATGTACTAGAGCAGTATACTGTTCAGGCTGCATGGAGCAACATTGCTGGTCGGCACACACTTGGCTTTAACTAACTTCAGGTGGATTTCACTTCATGCTTCACACACACATGCACAGAAGCACTGCCCAGTCAACAGTGTGCACTCATTCTAGATTGTTCTGATGATCGACAAGAAGGAAATACTCAGGTGTAAAATGTTCACTAACTTATAACAGGGCCGTGACGCCGGGATTCCTGCTGGTCCAGCCGAATGAGATACTTGACGGGAAATGAACACGACTGACGAAAATCCCGTTTTGCACGAATAGGGTGGGTCAACTGCACGAATTGGGTGGGTCAATTTGGAAAAATGTGGCCAGACTAGCCGCATGGTTTACGAACACCGTGAATAATGCACACACAAATGGAAAAACAAAAAATGGTTATGATAAACTATGCCACACCCCATTGTGTTCCTTTGCCCAGTAGAGAAATAGAAAGCTTTTTAGACCAAGTCAAGCAGGTTCATTTTTGATCGATCCAGTTCTCCCACCTCCATATTTGAGGACGACCCTAGCAGTTCTTTCACTTCCTCTCCTATTTCTTGTTTGTGCTTCTCGTTGCAACACAGATTCTTAGCCTCGAGCTGACCAAGGCTGAGTTTGCGGAGGCCATGAGCATGAAACCTGACACGCTGTTTGTAGAGCAGGTCTTCAAGCTGGTGGACGATGACCACAGCGGCACTGTTTCCTTCCAGGAGTTCCTCAAGTTCTTGATCCTCTTTACCAAGGGCACGGCCGACAACAAACTGGAGCTGATGTTCAACATCTACGACATCGACGGCAGCGGCACTCTGGAACGCGAGGAGTTCACCGAAATGCTGGGCCATCTCATTGAGCAGGCCAATGAGCAAGTGGATTCGGGCAATCTGAAAACAGTCGTGGACAGCATGATGGCGTCGGCCGGCCTGGCCGATCAGCGTACCATCGACATCCATCAGTTCAAGAGATTGTTTGGCGAGTACCGCTCGGAGCTGGACGACGCTGCCGTCCAGGTGCGCGGCAAGACTGCACGCAAGTCCAACGCCCAGGCCCTCTCCGTAGGCCAACTGCAAGCCCTGGACTCGATCAAGGGCGGCAACGGAGCCTCCAGTGAGCCATCCCAACTGGAAGAGGAAGCGCCAGCGCCGCAGGCAGGCCGTTATTGCTCCGTCAGACGACGCAAGATCGACGTTGCCACTGCCGCTTACGAGAACGAGCAAGACAACTCAGCCTCGTCTGATCTCCACATCGAGCCACTGCCTGTTGAAGCTGAAATTGGAGACAACGCTCAGCTTAGCACTCAGGCCGATAACATTCTGAGAATCCAGCGCTTCTGGGAGAACTACCGCCTGCATATCTTTTGGTTTACTCTCTATCAGCTTGTGGTCGGCGCCATCTTTGTCGAGAGAGCTTATTGTGAGTGATAGGAGCTGCGAATTGTAGGATAGTCTTCTAACTTGGGACATTGAAAAAAGTTATTCACTTTGGAAGGTGTTATGCTCAAGTGAGATAGCCTTGTACACCTAGTACACCTAGCCTTACCATACCTTACCATCCCATCCACACACTGCATTATCATACCATCCACACACTGCCTTACCATACCATCCACACACTGCCTTACCATCCCATCGACACACTGCATTACCATACCATCCACACACTGCCTTGCCATCCCATGCATACACTGCCTTGCCATACCATCCACACACTGCATTACCATACCATCCACACACTGCCTTACCATACCATCCACACACTGCCTTACCATACCATCCACACACTGCCTTGCCATCCCATGCATACACTGCCTTGCCATACCATCCACACACTGCCTTGCCATACCATGCACACACTGCCTTGCCATACCATCCACACACTGCCTTGCCATCACATCCACACACTGCCTTACCATCCCATCCACACATTGCCTTGCCATCCCATCCACACATTGCCTTGCCATACCATGCACACACCGCCTTACCATCCCATGCATACACTGCCTTGCCATCCCATGCATACACTGCCTTGCCATACCATGCACACACTGCCTTGCCATCACATCCACACACTGCCTTGCCATCACATCCACACACTGCCTTGCCATACCATCCACACACTGCCTTACCATCCCATGCATACACTGCCTTGCCATACCATGCACGCACTGCCTTACCATACCATGCACACACTGCCTTACCATACCATCCACACACTGCCTCCACACATTGCCTTGCCATACCATTCATACACTGCCTTACCATCCCATGCACACACTGCCTTACCATCCCATCCACACATAGCCTTGCCATACCATGCACACACTGCCTTACCATCCCATGCATACACTGCCTTGCCATACCATGCACACACTGCCTTGCCATCACATCCACACACTGCCTTGCCATCACATCCACACACTGCCTTGCCATACCATCCACACACTGCCTTACCATCCCATGCATACACTGCCTTGCCATACCATGCACGCACTGCCTTACCATACCATGCACACACTGCCTTACCATACCATCCACACACTGCCTCCACACATTGCCTTGCCATACCATTCATACACTGCCTTACCATCCCATGCACACACTGCCTTACCATCCCATGCATACACTGCCTTGCCATCCCATGCACACACTGCCTTGCCATACCATCCACACACTGCCTTGCCATTCCATGCACACACTGCCTTGCCATCCCATGCACACACTGCCTTGCCATCCCATGCACACACTGTATTACCATCCAATGCACACACTGCCTTGCCGTCACATCCACACACTGCCTTACCATACCATCCATACACTGCCTTACCATCCCATGCACACACTGCCTTACCATCCCATCCACACACTGCCTTGCCATCCCATGCACACACTGCCTTGCCACCCCATGCACACACTGCATTACCATACCATCCACACATTGCCTTACCTTCCCATGCATACACTGCCTTGCCATCCCATGCATACACTGCCTTGCCATACCATGCATACACTGCCTTGCCATCCCATGCATACACTGCCTTGCCATACCATGCAAACACTGCCTTACCGTACCATTCACACACTGCCTTACCACCCCCTGTGCACCGCCTTACACATGATTTTACAATCTGAATGGCAGTGGCAGACATGGCTGGGGACATGAAAGAATGTGTGTGTGTGCTTCTGCTAATAGTAGTAAATCAAAACAACTGTGACGCACGAGAGGAAAGCATATCAATACAGTTCGGTGTCTACTGAGGTGGATTGCGGCTGTACCACTTTTCATACATGCGTGGCCGCTGACCATAGTGTAGATCATTTCTTTTATTGTCGTTTCACACATGCGCTGCTGCTCTCTGTAGACTATTCCGTGGAGAGAGAGCACGTTGGCCTGCGTCGTATTGCCGGCTATGGTGTGACGGTAACTCGTGGTGCCGCGTCCGCCATGATGTTCACCTACTCATCTCTGCTGGTCACCATGAGCCGCAACATCATCACGCGACTCCGCGAGACCTTCCTCAACAAGTTCATCCCGTTCGACTTTGCCCATACTATGCATAAGGTATGGCTCTGCTGTGTTTGCATGGCTCTGCTGTGTTTGCATGGCTCTGCTTGATGAAACACACTGTGATGTGTTCCATCGCGCCTGATCTCCCTACGTTACTGCATCTCTTCAGCATGGTGAATGCTTTTTTCCGACTCTCACAGGCGGCGGCCTATTCTATGTTGGAGTCTCTTTTGTGAACATTAATATGTTGTGCTCTTTTTGTAGCTACTGACCTACATGCAGGGCAAGTGTCCAGGCTGGGACACCGACATGAGGTGCATCGCTTACTCCTGACCTATGGCCGGTTCTCAAAAACTGAGTCACACATTGATATGGCTCCTTCTTTGCAACACACTGCTTTCAACTCCTTCTTTGCAACACACTGCGGCTTTCAAGTTTCTGATAATTGCTTTGTGCGAGAAACTCTGAGTATTAAAACACCCTTTTATTCAAAAGAAAAATGGATCAAGGAACTACAAGTTACGCTATACTGTCCACTAACACCACCAGTTACTAAACAATCAGCAGCTCATGCGATAACACAAGTTGCACGACACTGACCGACGGTACTCACGTTCTACAGTCCATTTTTCTTTTGTATAAATTAATCCTTGGCTCTCCATCTGAGTCCATTCCTAAATTAATCCTTGGCTCTCCATCTGAGTCGATTCCTAAACTCTTTTTCATCCTCTTACTCTTGTTGGTTCTTTCTTTGTGTTGTTTTGCCTGTTTTCATGTTCACGATACAGTTGATTGCTTACACGGCCCTGATCTACACGATAGTGCACTGTATTGGTCATGCCATCAACTTCTACCACATCAGCACCCAGACCGCCAATGATCTCACCTGCCTGTTCCGCGAGTACTACCACTTATCGGACGAGCTGCCCAAGTTCCAGTTCTGGCTGTTCAACACTCTGACTGGTGAGCATGCTCGTATGCTTTGGGTGTGTTGTATGGGCATGGTCGCGTGTGTGTGTGTGTATATGCGTGTGTGTGCACGCGCATGTGTGTGTGTGTGGGGGGGGGGGTGCTTCATCATAAGCGTTTCTGCTTCCCAGTGCAGGCAGCATGTTGCAATGCAAAGATCATGGTTAATTTGATTGCCACACACAGCCATGTGGTGTTTCAGCAGATAGGCAAGCTAGAGAGTTCAATGTCTATTGCACAAAGTCACCGGAAATGTCTCCATACAGCTAGCTCGTATTTTCTGGTTTCCCCCAGGTTCGTCTGACTGAGCACTGATATTATTCCATGGTCCTCGCATACATGACGTCTACTGTTGTTTTTTGTCTCTTCTGAATGTGTTCAGGTGTGACTGGTTACCTGTTGGTGTTGGTGTGCGTCACTCTCTACATCTTCGCCATGCCATACGCACGCCGCTATCTCTTCCGCACGTTCTGGATCACGCATCACCTGTACATAGTGATGTACATCCTGCTCATCCTTCACGGCAGCGGTCGTCTTGTGCAGCCGCCGCTCTTCCAGTGGTTCTTCATCGTGCCAGCGTCCGTCTTTGCCATCGACAAACTCATCAGCTACAGCCGCAAGAAGGTAGGATTTACCGGGCAAATCTGCTAGGGTAGCAAGCTCACGCTTACTCTTTCCCTGCTCTGACACTCCTGTCATCTTTGAGCTGAGGTGTGAAAAGCTCATGGAAGGCACCTGCTAACCTTTTAGGGGAAGCTGGCTGGTTAGTTAACTACAGCGTGTGTGTCTTGTGCCTTTGTGAAGACAACTTGAACAGCAACATGCACTCGATAATTATTATTTTTTGCTTTCACGATGTAACTCCTCTTGCGTGTGATGTGTTGTTATGCTTGCCCCAACACACACAGGTGGAAATTGTCGTGTACAAGGCCGAGAAGCTGCCCAGTGGTGTGACTCACCTGCAGTTCAAGAAGCCAAGCAACTTTGACTACCTGTCTGGCCAGTGGGTTCGAATCGCCTGCCTGAGCCTCAACGAGAGCGAGTACCATCCGTTCACGCTCACCTCGGCGCCTGGCGAGCCCACCCTCGACCTGCACATCCGCGCCGTCGGCCCCTGGACTCAAAACCTGCGCACGGTCTACGACCCGGAGAACCCCAAGAACCGCGACGCTCACGGCGCTCTGTCATTCCCCCGCCTTTACCTTGACGGTCCGTTTGGAGAGGGTCATCAAGATTGGTTCAAGTATGAGATCGCTGTGCTTGTCGGCGGCGGTATTGGTGTCACACCATTCGCCTCCATCCTCAAGGATGTTGTTCACAAGCAGGCTAACAACACTAGATTCGCAGCCAAGAAGGTGAGTTGGGGAAATGCTAGCGTAGCGTGCAGAAAGTGGTCTTGGTGGGAGCGTACCGGTCACGGAGCCATTGCAATAGCATCAAAACAGCTCCGAGGGGCTGTCGTGAAAGATGTGCACACATGAATTACTTCAATGGACTTTTTTTATTATAAGCAAACTGCAGTGGGTGATAACGTAGCTTGTTGTCAGTGCTGTGTTGTGTCCGATGCGTCTTGTGGCACCACCACTAAGTTAGTCCTTCCCTTGGTCCCACTGGATGTTTCTTTGCCTGACACTCTAGTGTCTGTACGCCTCCTTGTTTCCTTTGAACAGGTTTACTTCCTGTGGGTCACGCGTACGCAGAAGCAGTTTGAGTGGATGACGGACATCATCCGCCAGGTCGAGGAGCAGGACAAGAAGCAGCTCACCGACATCCACATCTTCATCACCCAGTTCTACCAGAAGTTTGACTTGCGTACGATTATGCTGGTGAGTTGGGAATGCACCTGGCGGCACGCACGCATGCAGCATGCCACCTAACCTTCCCTTCGCCTTTGCTGGCATGAGAACCAGCCGGGACCAACACTGTGACCTGGGTTGCTGGTGCCATTATGATCTCTGTACATCATTGCATCACTGGGTGACGGCTTGGAGACGAGTTCCCATCAGCAAATTCAATACATGCATAGGATCTTGGTCGAAGTGTTTTAAATTCGTGCAAGTATTTGATTGGAGAACACTGGGCAAACCAGTTACCTTGTTGACGTGCCCGGAGACATTATCTAAATACGTAATAAATAAATAGAATGACTGCCCAGCGCAAATCCCCATGCTGGCCCTGTGTCACCTGTGTCACCGGTACTGCTGCTGCTGCTGAAGAAACATGCACTACCAGTACTAGTAGCGGGAATGGAAGCTCATAGCATATTCTATCTATTTGTTTGTGCCCCTGTTCACTCAGTACATCTGTGAGCGCCACTTCCAGAAGGTATCCAACCGCTCTCTCTTCAGCGGTCTGCGCTCGGTCACTCACTTCGGACGGCCGCAATTCAACAGCTTCTTCGAAGGTCTTCAGGATCTTCATAACTCTGTTGGCCAGATTGGTGTCTTCTCCTGCGGACCGCCACCGATGACACGGTCTGTGGAGGAGGGCTGTCAACACTGCAACCAGATCGAAGGCCCGATCTTCATTCACCACTCCGAAAACTTCTAAGTGTCCCCACTTCACGCTTGCTTTGCAAATGCCCGCAAAATGCCCACAGTCTTCTCTCTCTCCCTGTTTCTCTCTCTCTCTCTCTCTCTCTCTCTCTCTCTCTCTCTCTCTCTTCATTCCTGATATTCTTTTCCCGGGACTCTGTTCCTTGCCTTTAGTCCTCTGGTTCCTAGGTGCTTCATTGAACACCAACCCAACCTTTCTATCTCCAAGACTGTGTTCTTCTGGCCTCATTTTTTTGTTTGCAGCATGCACTCAAACTGCATTCTAAGAATAGAATTTGACATGATCTGGGTACAGCAGTTGGTTATCTGCCATAGAATCAAATGTAACTCCTGCACACACAACCCTGCAATAAGTCATACAGTGATACAAGTAATAACAATGGAGATGGGACCGTACTTGCATTCATCCCCTTCCCCCTGCTCTTCTGTTGCTGCTAGTCAACTGTGTGCTGTGCCTCTAGCCAGCTGTGCGTAACCGTGTAAGCTCTCTTAACTGGAGGTCACCACTCAGCCAGGTGCAGGTGCCCTCTCTAACTCGAAGGCAATCTTTTCCGATCAGTAACCCCAGCATGTAGGAGACCTTTACCCACATACTGCATATCCTTGCCGGTCTTGGCGTCCATGCTCCTTGCTCTGATTTTGCGTATTCCTTTCTGTTATGGCTGATCATGCTGCTGCCAATGTTACCCAGTTTCTTTTAGAGCACTAATGCACTACCGAGCAAATTGATACACTGTCCGTACTAATAATGATACACTGTCATCATGGTCATGATAATTGGTGATTGGTGATTGAACTCACAGAACTTGATAGCCAGCGGGTTATGTTGTACATGCATGGAGCGTGGGCCGCGTGACCATGGTATAAGTCCAGGCGAACGTGCACGACGTCGTGTATGTGTGTGTGTGTGTTTGTGCGTGTGTGTGCATGTGTGTATGTGTGTGCGTGTGTGTACGTGTGTGTGTGTGTCCATCATATGGTGCAGTGGTATGTGTAGCGATTTCCAATCAGAGGTTGCGGATTTGATTCCCGACGATTATGTTCACACACGTGTTTCTTCTCTTTCTCAGACTCCTCCTGACTTTTCTTTCATTCTCCTGGATTGTTACCAACAGTCAGTGTATGCCGGAGTATGTGGTGTAAGGCCACACGTTTTTATTTCTATGTTTCTCGTCACCCGCACGCATACGATTCAGGAGTCTGGAAGAAAAAAAGAAGAAAAAAACTGTGCTGCACTGACTGTGCATGTGGGGACCAGCACACTCATGCACATGTACATAATGTGGCCTGGCCTGCGCGAAACATGATGCGAGGTCGCCATTTTTTGTGCACAATCTAGCTGCACATGCACAGATTGTGACAGAAGCTCCTACCACATACTAGTTGCTAACTATGGATGCTATTTTGCATGGTGTATTGGTGGATTAGTGTGAACAAAGGTCTAATAAACTTTTTTTATTTTTCGGTCAAATTTTATTTTTTTCCGCCTCTCGCATACGTTTTCAGATTTTCAGGTGACGAGAAACATAGAAATAAAAACGTGTGGCCTAATGTGTTTGCGGGAAAAAAAAACATTTAAAAAAAAGACCAACACGTAGGGATTCGCAGGCCAGAAAAAGCCACTTCATGGCTGTGTGGTGTAGACCAGGCTGAATAGTGACGGCCAATTCTTCAGCCTTGCAAGCTGTTGAATCACGGGTGCAATCCCAGCAGAAGTTGCTATGGCTTCTGCCATAGCATCGCTATCATCGCCTCTGCATGGCGATGGGCGTCAAAAGGTCAAGGTGTGTGTGTGTGTGCGCGCGCGCGCGTGTGTGCTCGTGCGTGCATACTAGGGCTGAAAGGAATATTCGAATTATTCGAATATTCGAAATGTGCAGACCGGAAAAAGAATATTCTTCGTTAAAGTAGAATAAGAATATTCGTAAATGTACAGAAACTCGCCTTTTTGGTACCGATCAGGCTTATTTCGTGCAAAATACGAGTAGACTTGCCACCTTTAATGTGTTATCATTAGCAAGACAAATGATGACAATGCCACTTTCACACATCTCTCTTGTAATCGGGGTACACACCAGTCAATGGTCTATGGTTACCATGGATACAACAAGGTATCCATGGATATTGTATGGTTAAGAATATTCGGAATATTCTTCGTTTCATATGTATTCGGAAAAGGAATATTCGTTCGCTTCATTGAGCATTCGTTTCAGCCCTAGTGCATACATGTGTGCGTGTGTGTATATGTACATGCCCTTGTGCGCACACACACACACACACACACACACACACACACACACACACACACACACACACACGTACCTAAATTGCATAATATAGATATCTCATCTTCTAGAACACCTCGCTTAGTCATTATGTTAATGTTACGCAATGCTCACTTCGTCTACGTGTATAGCAATGATGATCTAGGTTTGCCTTCTCCACTATTCTAGAACTTGTAGAAGGATGATTTCGTAATCACTGCAATGGCTTACTAACCTTACTTTCCTACCGCCGCCTGCTTTGCTATACATACTTTGCTTGCCTATAAAAGCTGCTGTCTTTTCTGCCACCATGAGATTAGCTCAGATTAGATTGGAGCTGAGATCGGAGAGATCCGATAGAGATCCGAGAGAGAGAGCAAGTTCACTTTCACTTTGATATAAGATAACCTCCAGGCCGTGCCGGAGTAAGTTCTGATACGTTACTGTGGTTGACTGACTGTGGGTAGTAGCCTCCTAGCCTCGCCGACGCACGTTACATTGGTGGCAGCGGTGGGATTGCCTTAGATCACGCACGTTACATTGGTGCCAGCGGTGGGATACGTTACATTGGTGCCAGCGGTGGGATACGTTACATTGATGGCAGCGGTGGTTCAATTTGATAATTGCTAGATTCGAACCCACCTAGTATCTGTACTGCAATGATGGCAGCCGCGCTACAGAATTGATGGCAGCGGTAAATTGTTTTATTGGTGGAACCAGTACCAGTATGGCCCAACCTGATGCGTCAGTCGCCGCTACTCCTTCGCCCGCCATGTCTCCCCCTAGCCTGAAACGATGACGGACAGCGTCTCTACCGATCAAGCTCCATGTCCAATGTAAGCTGATTCCAGGTATGGCATTCTCTTTCCTGTCTTCCTTCAGTCTTTCTATTCTCTTCAGTCTTCCTTTATGCGAGTGAGTGAATCCAGTTTAGTCCGGTAGGCGTCCGATCATGGTGAGCCACGGTCTACCTAGCTAACCTGGGACAATGTGTGTGAGAATGCCCTTGTGTACTCAGTTTGGCTTGGAACTGCGATTTGGCTGGCAGGTTGTGCCAGGGTTGTGCAGCAAGTAAACTGTGGTTTTTCGGTCCTGTTTGGAGGACAATATTCCCTTTTTGACCCCGTGAGATGGTGAGAACCTGGTGTGCTTCTATTTTTTGATTTATTATCAGTTCAGTTCTTCTGTCTACTCTAAAAAAACGTTATCATTTCCGATATTATTTGCCATATTCCGGTTGACGCTCTACAAGTAATACGCTATCTACTATGACGTTCACACCGCCTCCTATGATCTGCTGCTGAGCTCGAGCAACTACTACTACTACTAGTGTCATTTGTCACCCTTTCGTCCGAATATCAAGCACTCTGTTCAAGATTCAAGAATACATGTACGTGAATGCAAGTTAGTTGTCCAGTCCACCTACTGACGGTGCCTTCTAGTGAGTACTGTTCATCATACATCATCGAACTCTCTGTCAAATCACGAGGGCGTGATTTAGTGTAGGAAGGGAGGGTGTAGTATCCCTGCTTTACAGTTTACGCATGACTAGTACTTTGCATGACTCTTATAATAATTATTACTCTTGTTACTACTTTCGGACAAGTCCTACATCATGTACCTCACATATGATTTGATTACATCAGGAGTACCGCGCTTCTAGAAGATCATAGATCTTCCATGCATGCTGCTGTCATCACTTCTAGTATCACTTCCTTTTAGTTACTAGTTGGTACAGTCATGACTCATGTACACATGTATGTCATGTTGTTCCGGACTATTCCAGACTTTCCACGTCATATGCCCGATGAGTAATGTTGCTGACTAAATTGCATAATATAGATATCTCATCTTCTAGAACACCTCGCTTAGTCATTATGTTAATGTTACGCAATGCTCACTTCGTCTACGTGTATAGCAATGATGATCTAGGTTTGCCTTCTCCACTATTCTAGAACTTGTAGAAGGATGATTTCGTAATCACTGCAATGGCTTACTAACCTTACTTTCCTACCGCCGCCTGCTTTGCTATACATACTTTGCTTGCCTATAAAAGCTGCTGTCTTTTCTGCCACCATGAGATTAGCTCAGATTAGATTGGAGCTGAGATCGGAGAGATCCGATAGAGATCCGAGAGAGAGAGCAAGTTCACTTTCACTTTGATATAAGATAACCTCCAGGCCGTGCCGGAGTAAGTTCTGATACGTTACTGTGGTTGACTGACTGTGGGTAGTAGCCTCCTAGCCTCGCCGACGCACGTTACATCATTAGCAAGACAAATGATGACAATGCCACTTTCACACATCTCTCTTGTAATCGGGGTACACACCAGTCAATGGTCTATGGTTACCATGGATACAACAAGGTATCCATGGATATTGTATGGTTAAGAATATTCGGAATATTCTTCGTTTCATATGTATTCGGAAAAGGAATATTCGTTCGCTTCATTGAGCATTCGTTTCAGCCCTAGTGCATACATGTGTGCGTGTGTGTATATGTACATGCCCTTGTGCGCACACACACACACACACACACACACACACACACACACACACACACACACACGTACAAGGGAGGTTTGGTTTGCAATATTTACAGTACATGTACTAGGGGTGAACAGAAAAAGAAAAGAAAAAGAGAGCAGAAAGGAAGGAAGGTGTAAACTGAGACAGGAAAAAACTACATGTACATGTACGTGTAGGTGCAGCCGCGTTTTTGATTTTATTGATTTGTGCCTGAGCCAACATTCCAGTCATAACAATGACCGTGTAAACTTGTTTTTTTTTACTCCTTCAGCTTCTTTATCATTCTACCTAACGCTAACGACGTCTCCTTGACTGGGGGGGGGGGGGGAGGGGGTCATTCTTTTTATGGACACCAGTTGCAGCATACATGGGCCACGGGCATTGCGAATGTGCCCTGTATGTCTACTACTACGTCATGTAGATGTACATGTAGATCTTCATGTACATGATTACTATTATAATAGTAATCATGTACATGTAGATAGAGTATTATGCCTGTATTATCTAGTGGCTGTGTAGGTCTACTCTACCATGGTCTACCAAGTCTACTGCCGGTAAACAACTAAACAGGTAAAAGAGCGGTAGCTCTACATGTATCTGAGGAGTGTACATAGTCATTCTATGTGTCAGCTATTGTACTAAAAGAGAACTGCATGGGCTTGTGGAGTTTGGAAGTCCGTGGCGCAGTTACTGAGTACAAGGACCAGAATGATCATGATTGTGACACTGACAGTCTTGGACTGTGATTTCATACCAGGACTCTGCTAATTGGCTGTTGCCTGTCGACGCGTCACGGAGACACCAGATATGCAGATGCAGACCGTGACCACCGTCACACTCCCCCAACCCTCCCCCAAAGGCACGGCTTCTCCGCGGTTTGACTTTGAGACTCTGAGCTCAGCCGATGCCGGCAAATGTCTAAATACAGCTACCGCCGGTATCAAGGGCATTATGGAGTATGGACAGACTCATACCATGGTCATACCGTACCGGTGCTGGAAAGGCTTACAATGACTATGTTACTGTATGTACATGTAGATGCCAAGATTGGAATGAAAAGTAGTAGTGTCGGCATTCTCCATTCACTCAGA